AGTATTAAGTCAAAAGCCACAAGGTTAATTTTTTCTCTTAATAAATGGACCCAGGTACCTTGGACCAAGCTTCCTTGAAGGACAGTTCAATTTTAGGTTTGTCGTAGATAACCAGACTTTATCTCCTGGTTTCAGATTTAGGTTGCCCCTTCTCTTTCTGTCAAAGAAGTTTTTGTTACTCGCTTGAGCTTCTAAAATAGTCTTTTGCAGTATTTGACCATTCCTACTGAGGAAATCCATCCTTTCCTGTACTGCCGGGACAGTGGGTTCCACCGGAATTTCAGGAAGAAAGGAGGGGTAATATCCATAGTCGGAGTAAAAAGGAGACTGGTAGCAGAGTGAATGGAGTTGTTGTATGCAAATTCTGCTAATGGAAGGAGAGACACCCAGTCATCCTGTGAATATGATGAGAAACATCGGAGCTATTGTTCCAGAGTCTGGTTTGTCCTCTCTGTTTGTCCATTTGTTTGTGGATGGTATGCGGAAGAGAAGTGAAGTTCGATCTCTAATGCCTCACACAGAGCTTTCCAGAATTTAGACGTAAACTGTACTCCTCGATCAGAGACGATGTTGTTAGGAACACCATGCAATCTTACTATCTCTCTGATGAAAGCAGAAGCAGTTTCAGCGACAGAAGGAGTCCCTTTCAAGGGAATGAAGTGGGCCATTTTTGATAGGCAGTCAACCACTACAAAAATAGTGGTGAATTCCTCAGACGGGGGGAGCTCAACAATAAAATCCATAGAAATCATACTCCATGGTTTTTCAGGTACTGGCAGAGATTCCAACAGGCCCCAGGTCTTGGCTTTATCAGATTTGTTTCGAAGACATACGGAGCAAGATCTAACATAGTTCTGGCAGTCTTTCAGCGAGTTTGGCCACCAAAAGCAACGGGAGACCAAATCTGAGGTCTTGTGGATCCCAAAGTGACCCGCTAAAGGGTGATCATGACATCTTTTGAGGATGAGAGAACTGAGTTGTTCCGGTACGAAGATTTGTTCCTTGTGAAGATACAGACCGTCTCTTAGCTGAAGATGCATCTCTAAGGGGGGTGGATGATCATCCACCACTTCTCTTATTTGTGCTACAAGGTCAGTTTGCAAAAGTAAGAAATTCTTAGCTGGCAGAATCGTGTCAGGTTCAGATGGTATAATTGAATTGTGAAACATACGCGAGAGTGCATCTGGCTTACCGTTCTTTGATCCTGGACGGTATGTTACATGAAAGACAAAGCGGGAGAAGAACAGTGCCCATTTTGCCTGTCGTGGCCTTAGACGTTTTGCCATTCTCAAGCATTCTAGATTCTTATGATCCGTGATAATGAGGATAGGATGGGAAGCTCCCTCCAGTAAGTAGCGCCATTCCTCAAGTGCTGCCTTGATGGCCAATAGCTCTCTGTCTCCTACGTCATAATTCCTTTCAGAGGCATTTAGCTTCCTAGAGAAGAAAGCAACGGGGTGCAGAAGGGATTTGCTCCCACAGCATTTTCAGAAGCGTCTACTTCTAGGACAAAAGCTAAAGCAGAATTTGGGTGCTTCAGGATAGGTGCAGAAGTGAACAAAGTCTTTAATTGTTCAAAGGCGACTTGAGCCTCAGGAGTCCACCTGAAAGTAACATGTTGCCTGGTTAGCTGTGTCACTGGGCAATGATCCCTAAAAAGATCTTAAACTTTCCGTAAAAGTTTGCAAAGCCCACAAAATGTTGCACTGCTTTCCTGTCCTTTGCAACGGGCCATTCTAGTACAGAGGTCACCTTTTGGGGATCCATAGCAATGCCATCAGGAGTGATTACAAGTCTGAGGAACTGAATAGTCTGTTTCTCGAACTCAAATTTCTCAGCTTTGGTGTAGAGGTGATGTCGACGTAATCTCTCCAGAATTTTCTTTACATGATCCCGGTGTGTTGTTCCATTGAGCTGAAAAAGACTAGGATGTCATCCAAGTAAACGATAATACACAGATCAAGAAAGTCCTGAAATATATCATTCACAAAGTGTTGGAATGTTGCTGGGGCATTACAGAGACCAAACGGCATCACCAGGTATTCAAAATGCCCAAAGCGTGTTTGAAAGGCCGTCTTCCATTCATCCCCTTCGCGAATTCTAACTAAATTGTAAGCGCCCCTCAGATCCAGTTTTGAAAAGACACATGCCCCTCGTAGCCTTTGGAATAATTCAGGAATTAGAGGAGAGGATAGCGATTCTTGACAGTTATTTTATTCAGATCACAATTGTCAACACAAGGTCAGAGGGTATGATCCTTCTTCTCGACAAAGAAAATGCCAGTTCCCGCCGGTGATGTAGAGGGCCGAATAAACCCTTTTTCCAAGCTCTCATCAATATAACTCTGGAGGACTTCTAATTCTAATTCGGATAGGGGTAAATTCGCCCAAAAGGAATTTCGGCACCGGGCAGAAGCTCAATAGGACAATCATAAGAGCGGTGTGGAGGAAGAGCATTGGCACTCTTGTTAAATACATCCACGTAATCATGGTAAGCAACAAGAATGAGTTTGATTGTCTCAGAGTCAGGTTGAATACTAAGCAGAGGAGTTGCTGTACCTGGTTCCTTAGGAATGCAGTGGTTCAGGCAGTATTTGGAGGGGAAAAGGTTCTCCCCAAACAACAATTTGATGGATGGGTTGTGTGCTTTTAGCCATGGCATGCCGAGAAATATTGGAGAAGTTATGACATCCAGACATAGAAATTCCTGATGTCCCGAAGAGGAGTGGCATAAAATTGGCATGGTCTCTTGTGCCACAGGACCAGAACTGATACCAGAGCCATCAGCCAGATGGACCGAAAGTCTTTGTGTCTTGGTGCGGAGGGGAATCTTGTTTTGGTTAGCAAAGTTAGAATCCACGAAACAACTACAGGCACCAGAGTCTATAATGGCCGGAACAGTAATCGTCCTTTCAGCCAGCTGTAAGTGAAGGTGGAAGGAGAGGTGCGTTCAGCTTGCTCCTTGGGGGTGCATCATATGGAACCAGACATGTCCAGTAAGACCTATGAGGTCTTACTGGACACGTCAGTACATAGTGACCTTCGTCGCTTACAGTAGAGACAGAGATTGGACTCTTGTCGTCGAAGACGTTCAGCAGAGGGCAACTGTGGTCTCCAGAAATTCCTTCTAGGGGAATTATGATGCCTTATATTATCGGGAAGTAGGTCTGATGGGACAACAGTAGTAGAGGAAACAGGGGTCTCCACCTCTGAACATATCAAGATCTCCCCGTTAGTCTTCTCACCCTGTCTCTCCCGGATCCGACGGTCGATGTGGATAGCAAGGTCTATCAGGTCTTCTAGCCTGGTTGGTACCCCCACTTGGGTAAGCTCATCTTTCAGGGTGTTAGAAAGGCCAAGGCAGAACTGGTAGCGGAGAGCAGACTCATTCCATTGAGTGTCGGAACTCCATATACGGAACTCGGTAACATATTCCTCTATAGGCCTTTGGCCATGCTGTAGCTTGCTAAGCATAGATTCAGCAGTCTGACGAAGAAAGGGATCAGCATAGAGCTGTGACATTGCTGAGAAAAAACGAGTCCATCGAAGTTAGTGCCGGGTCATGTTGTTCACGAAGGTGGTGTGCCCAGGATTGGGGTTCATTCTTAAGGAGTGAGATAATGAATCCCACTTTGGTGCTTTGTGATGCAAAGGTTCTTGGAAGCAGGGAAAAATATAGTTTGCAGGAGTTGCGAAAGGTTCGGAACTTCCTGCGATCTCCTATGAGAAACTCAGGTGTTGGCACCCGGGGTTCCGGTAGGGGAGAAGTTCCAAGAATCATACTGAGCTCTGTCTGAGTACTTATATCTGAGACTGCAGAGGGCCCTGTGGCTGTGGAGGCATTAGACTCGGGTGGTAGTTGACTCTCCAGGTGCTCAAGGTTTTCTTGTAAGTAAGATAAGGCAGAGACTGATTGACAGATGTCCCCCATTGCAGAGGCCTCCCTTTCAGACTCCATCATTGGCTGACTGGTACTGTCACGTACCTGATGGGAGACTGAAATGACGAGGTCGGCCTCACTTGTGTCACTAGCCCTGACCCCACTGGAGTTGGAATAGAGGGAGTCTAGGACCCAGGGGAACAAGAATGCCAGTAGTTGTTGTTTGCAGCTCTTGTAGATGATGACCTTGGAAGACTGATGATCCTCTGATTCAGGCACAATGGTAACATGCAGAGCTGGTTTTGTAGATCGCCAGGTGTGCACCAGAGCAAGGCAGAAAGCGAGAGGAAGAGACAGGAGCAGTGTCATAGGAATAGCCAGGGTCATCAACAGGCGGACAGCAAGGTACAGAATCAGAAGCAAAGCCAAAGTCAGGAGCAGAGCCGAAGTCAGGAACCAGAATCAATCAGGAGAGCAATCAGAGTCAGGTGAGGAACAAGCCGGGTCAGCAACAAGGGAATCACACAGGAGCAAGCAGGACATGGGGGAGCTGAAGACCAGTCAGCACTCAGCACAGGCAAAGGCACCTTTTAAATAGTCCATCTGGCGCCAATCTTCATAGTGCGTGTGCACGTGCTTGTGCGTGCCTGTGCATTTCTGTGCACATGCGCACGTCTATTCACCAGCCTTCTCACGGGAATTCCCTTACACTTGGAGTATGATGTGCTAAAGTGTAAGTGTAGTAAAATGGGGCAAAATTGGTGAAGTGATCCTGAGTTTGTTTTACTTTAGTTCACAACAACGTATCTCACTTAGTTTCACTCTTTTGAAAATAAGGTCTACAGACTGTAAAAGTGACCACGTAAAGGTACAATGCATATGCAAGCTTGCTATAGGAAAAAATGGACATTTACAGCAAGAATGGATGGCATTTATGATAGTCAATAAACTTTTATGTTGATTGACTATCTCTATTAAGAATACTTGTTCACACTTATTTTGTGTTATACACAGATTATTGATTAAAAAGAATATTGTAACATTGTTTGTGCTTTAAACGGCATTTTGTTACTTGTTTATTAAGCTAATTTTATTTTATTTTATTTTTTTTACATTCCTAGATTTTTATTGGTGAGATCGCAACTTATTTCATTAAAGTCTACAAGAGATAAACTGATAGTTCAAGAAAAAATGATTCTGACTGGAGAGTGCTGTTACTTAAATCCATTAATCAGGCGAATCATAAGATTTATAGGTAAGTCCATATTTATTGTTGTTTATGGCTTCATGTTAAAAAATGAGCTTACCATGAAAAAAAACCACCAATGGTTCCTAGAGTGGATGATTACTTTGCCCTATTCCAGCTAGGATGGTTATCTTTTTCTCCCCTGAGAACATGGCAATACCCAAGAGCTGAAGTCAGAATCAGGACTCTATAAGTGTCACTCTACAGATGCACTCATTAAAGCACACCTGTGTTCAGATAATGGCAACATGTCCTACCACAGCCAATTTCAAATGCAATATGGTTGCAAGAGAATTTTGTAGACTATGTGTTAAGATATACCATGTTTTTTTAGGACCAGGGGACTCTTGGATGCATTATTTACATAAACCATAGAGTAGGTAGTCTTTTTGAGCTAAGAGCATGTCCAAAGACTGAGAAACTGCCACTGGAAAATAACTGGAAGTTCATACAGAGTGTAGCCTTTTTAATCTGGGCATTGTGCTGCCAGTATTGCATTCCTTAGTCAATGCCACATTCCAGCCTATTAAATATTTTATCATGGCATACACTTATGCTTTTGTACATTTTAACTACTTTTAGAATGTAACTTGCTCTCAGGCCTGGGTATGGTACAGTAATATATACCACAAGAAAAATAGTTGAGGCGAACGTGAATATAAAGAAAAAGATGCCATTAAAGACTGCGTGTAATCACCCCTTCATAAATACCCCCAGACTCACGAAAGTATAAGGTGTGGATTCTTAAACCAAAAAACATATGAATAAATGTTAGCAATTGATAAGAGCTAACCTGCTATAAAGTGGAGCATTATGCTATTATGCACAATCAAGACTTTTCTAACATACTCAAACCAATTTTTTTGATGTAAAGGAGAATATACCATTCTTCAACTTAAGAATTTACACAGATTCATATTTCATCAGTGACAACACCATGGTCTCTATTATGAAACCTTATCACTGCAATCCTATGAAAATACTTCATTTAAGGAATATCGGCCGATTGAGGTTGGCCATACACTGTGAATCTACCATAATTCATCTGTATGATGTTGATGATTCATTAAGAAGGAGTTTTGATGCTCAACCTCCATTATTACACTAGAGATATTCAAAAGAATTTCTGATAATCCTAAAACCAACGATACAGATTGAAAATTGGAAGATTTACTTATACCTGGATTTTTCTACATGGACTTTCCATAATGAATATAGAAGTAGTCTTTACCTATTTCATCTGGCTTATTTGTCACATATGCAGCTAAGTGGAAAACGCAGAACATTTATTTGTTTTTTTGTTTTTACTTTTTGATTTTATTTTTATGACTGACATATGTTCACCATGATATAATGTCTACCTTTTCATGATCCATGTGAGTGATCTTAATAAATACAATTTGCATTCAGTAATTTAATGATTATTACTCCGCATAGGATTTGTAATGCACCACTTTATAGCAGGTTTGCTCTTGTCAACTGCTAACATTTATTCGAATGTGAATATAAACCAGCATACGTTATCGCAGTAACCATAAAATAACCGTAAAAAATGAACTGCCCAAGAGGTGGGCAAAAAATGGTTACTATGGTGACAGACATCATATAAGCTGAGAAATTCTGAGAAATCAAACCTTAATACCCGGTATCTTAAAACAATCTTAAAACATCGATTTTTATTACTCCGGTTATAAGTACAACTTTGGTGTGGACTAGGACATCTTACACTGTGAGTACAACTCATGAAAAAAACACATGAATGGACAAAACAGATACAACATTCAATAGTGAATCAAAATAACTACGTCCAGACGCCTATTTAGACTCATATAGGAGAAGCATACCGCAGCAAAATGCTGCCTGAAAGTGAACTTTATATAGCTAAAGGTATCCCTCAGTTATGAGTCTGGGATCTCATGGGGAACTGAAAAATCACTGAACACATAGTAATACATCATGGCTCTCATGGGGCAAACAATGGAGGCCCTGGGTTATAAGCATGTGGTAAATGGGGTTCATACAGTAGGAGTCCCAAATATGTCCCCGGTTTTCTTAGTAGCAATGGAGATAAAGGACGCATAAAATGCATGGAGATAAAATAAAATTAATGAATAATAATAAGGTATGGATAGTGTTGTTCCAGTTGACACTTGGCCTTTATAACTCCAAATCTCTTCTGGTCCAAATGGACCTATATTGTGAGGTAATATGAAGGGTTCTAGTGTCTCAAAAAAAGTGTGACATAGCGGAAGGAGGCCCATACATTTCCGCCACTACACTGCCACTTCGCTCATCCAGATGTCAATCCAAACCATGAAGTAGACTAGATGCTGCTTCAGACAAATGATGTGTGCCAAACTCGTCCAGATGAAGCTATGTTATTACCTAGTGAAACGCGTTGTACTCACACTTCACGCCCAGTGAAGCCATCTCTCCATCTGGGAACCCACGGTATTGGCGCCCTGCATGTCAGTGATGGCACCCTGGTTATCCAGTAAGACACACGGAGGAACGCAGTGTTTAGACGGTCCACCAAGTAGCCGCTATTCCATCACATGGAGACAAGTTTGGCATGCATCATTCGACTGAAGCAGCATCTACTCTACTTCATGGTTCGAATTAACACCTGGATGAGTGAAGTGGCAGTGTAGTGGCGGTAATGTATGGGCCTCCTTTTGCTATGTCACACATTTTTTGAGACACTAGAACCCTTCATATTACCTCACAATATAGGTCCATTTGGACCAGAAGAGATTTAGAGTTATAAAGGCCAAGTGTCAACTGGAACAACACTATCCATACCTTATTATTATTCATTAACTTTATTGCTGCATTAATGCCTTTGTCTCCATGCTATTCTATGCGTCCTAGTTGAACCCAACACATGCTTACAGTGGTCTCCATTGTCTGCAATAAGAAAACTGGGGACATTTGCCTCATTTGGGACTTGCCAACTTACTGTATAGGATTTAATCCCTTATTTATCATTCATGCATATTCGCCTCACTGACTAACCCAGAGCCTGGCCCTTATTGGAAACAGTCACTTGCAATCTCATGCTTATATATGAGCTCATGATGTATTACTATGTGCATTGATGTTTTAGGGTCCCATGGGATCCCAGACTCATACATGAGGGCTGCCTTTTAGCTATATAAAGTTCACTTTCAGGCAGCATTGTGCTGCAGTATGCAACTCCTGTATGAGTATAAACAGGCGTCTGGACGTAGTTATTTTAATTTACTATTGAATGTTATGTCTGTTTTGTCCATTCATGTGTTTCTTTTCATGAGTTGAATGCACAGTGTAAGATATCCTAGTCCACACTAAAGTTCCACTTATAACCGGAGTAATAAAAATCGATGTTTGAAAATACAAGGTATTAAGGTTTGATTTCTCAGAATTTCTCAGACATTTCTGATGTCTGTCACCATAGTAACCACTTTTTTTTGCCCACCTCTTGGGTAGTTTGTTTTTCATGGTACAGTAATTTAGCTCACTGAGGATACAAAATATAATTTCTTTCACACCCATGAATTTAACATTTGTTTCACAGGACTAATGTCATCAATAAAAACTCATTTTTTTCTTATAAGAGTTTGGTGTTAACTTTTACACAGTAACTGACAGCTGTGTGGAGGTTGATAACATTATGGCTTGACAGAGTAAAAGTCTTGCAATAAGCAATTCCTTTTAGTCATGTTAATATGGTTGTACGCCCACTTAAAATGACTAGCTTGCTTTGATACTGAGTTTAACAGCTGTTCATGTTTGAATTTCAGTCTTGTTATATTCCTGCTTCAAGCAAAGGCTACTGTATATTTCAACGAGTTTTAGAATTTTAGCATAAGTCACAGAACTGAGCACATCATTTATACAAAAGCCCTTTTGCTATCTTCTTTTTAATGTGATTGCACTGCGAGTACAGAGTGGGATATAAAGATGGATTTATCATCAAATTTGAGCTGCAACTTGTCATAAAAAGCACACTTTAAAACATCAACAACATTTTATTATTTGATTACATTACAAAGAACAATTCCAAGCAGCAAGGAAAATCACAGTTAATTCTAATGCTGACAGATTCTCAAGGTAATAATATCCAAGAAACACTGTACATATACTTAAAGTGTTACTAAACCCACAACAGTAATATTAGTCTGTATATACAGTAAAGCATGCTTGTTATACTCACTGTAGAACCTAAGGGGTTAATCCACTGCATTGTGTAAAAACTATGTTTGATCCTGGCTTCTCTGATCCTCCCCTTCTTCCAGTGTCCCCCTCTTATCTCCTGATAAGACATATCGTGTGGAGCCACTCTGCACATGCTCGGTTTAGTGTATATTGCTAGAGAGTTTTTTTTTCTTGGTGCATGTGATCAGCACAGGGCCAATCAGCACTATCCAGACAGAGGTCAGGGGTCCTGCAGTCTCATAGGACAGTGAGAGAAGAATGAAAACTTCTCCTAAAAGCTTTAACCAGTGCTCTCTGCTGGACACTGATAGAAATCACAAGACTGATCACATATGGTGTAGAATCACTCTGCACATGCTCAGTTTGGTGTGTATTGCTAGAGAGGTTTTTATTTTTTGGGAGAGTGATCAGCACAGGGCCAATCAGCATTGTCCAGAGGGTCAAAGATTCTGCATCCTCCTAGAGCAGTATGACAACTCCTCCTACAAGCTTTAGCATGCGCTCTGCTGGACACTGATAGAAGTCTCAAGACTGCTTCAACTGTTGATGAAAGAAGGTTTTAAGCAGTTTGTATTTACTAAAATAATTGCATTTCCATGTTCTGTGTACTATGGGAGACCAGATATAGTGAATGTAGGGTCCTGGGTTTAGCAACACTTTAAATTCTCTTAATTTACTTTAGTCTGATTTTTTAAAAATCTAATGTAGCAAGATTTGGAAATTTTGCAAGGCTTTGGGACCAGATTGCAGATGTTTGTTTGCTTATTTGACAGAGAAGTGACTAGTTGTACTGGAAGCTATCCTAGTCATCCAATGGTATAAGGAACTCCAGAGTTGGAATCAGGGCTTTGCACTTTGGGGTTGGTTTAATGAGGCATTGAAATGAGTATCTGAAAGGAACGCTGCTCATCTGTGTTGAGCATCAAAGAAAACAGATCAGTACCTTGGGCAAAATAGAGAAACTGTGGTGCTCTAGAAGGAGATTGGCTGTGAGGTTAGATTGGGAAAAGATTAGAACCTGTTTTTGCTGTTTTCTGCTATCCGGTATGCCATTAGCAAGATTTCCTTTCATTTTCTGACATATGAACACAAGTTTCACCAGAAAGGAATGAGGGAAAATTTCTAATGGCAGCAAGGAAAGAAATGAAAATTAATTTAGTAAAATATCATAAGTCTAGATTCTTTTAGGATTCTTTTGCTGTCTGTGTCCTTGTTTCAGATTGTCCCTCACTATTTGCATGCTTGAAAGTGTTGGCATTGTGTCCCAGATAAGGGTAAAAACCTCACATGGGTTAAAATCCTTCCCCACTCTATTTAAAACTAAAAGAAAAAAAAATATTTTGGTTGGATAAACACTTTAAGCCTTTTAATCTGCAACAACATCATAATAGGAATTTCTACAGTTTAGTAAATACAGCAGTTTAAAGGCACTGAGCTGTAGACGATGTCTACTAATTCAGAGTAAATGTAACCTATACATGTGTGACAACCATGTATCTTTAAAAGAGGAGTATGGACAAAGATTTTTTGGCCATACTTTGCTTGTGGATCACAGGAGCGCACTTACCTTTACTCTTCTGTGACCCAAAGTTATCTTATAATGGGCCATGGCTCACTATAGGCTGACGTCAGAGAACCACTCCAGGCTCTGGGAGGATCACAACCATGTTGTCGAAATCCACCTAGCCACCTGATTGACAGCTGACTTCGACTCTCAGTGAATGGCTGAGAGTTGGAGCTGCCTGCACCAGCCCCCTCTCCTGCCCAAAACTCCAGTGAGCGCTAGAAGGGCAGTGAGGAGAGTGGTGACCGACTGTCACTGCTCTCTGCTCCAACCTGACCAAGAACTGTGCAGTCAATGGTTATGTGATCGCTCAGTTTTAAGTCTTAAAGCTAATGTGGGATAACTGCAGCATCATATATATATATATAATACTGATATTGCAGCATAGAGGTTAGTATGAAGGTTTGGTTTTTATACACCCCAAACTTCTCATTTAACAAGATACTCAATGAAAATCATTCATAATGCTTATTCAATTACTTATATCCTTCTGTGTTTAATATCTTCACCTTGGTTTATTTTACTTTCTGTAATTTTATTCTGTTCCACACATACAATTCAGTTTACATGCCAGTGGGTTAATTCAATAACTTTCAGATATCCTTGAACTTGACTTGTCTGTGACTATATTGATGACTGGCACACTGCCACAGAGCTGAGTTTGTGGCATTCCCTTTGGGCATCAGACATTCTGCTTTACCAACAAGCTCAGCTTTTTGCAGCAGACTAATCAAATGTTTGTGCTACTAGCAATATTGGCTTTGGATGTTTAAATAATGTTATGGACCATTAATTATCTATATATTTTTCTGTGCTGAAGTTAGAATATTTTGTTTAGCTAACACTTTGCAGTAATATGCTAAAAAAAACATGATATCCATGATAAAGAGCATTTATTTTGTAAGTAAGCCCTGGTTCATACTATGCAGTCCGCACCGCATCAGAATCGCACCCTGTTTATGCGAACTGCTGTGGGTGTGTATGTTAACAACACCCCAAAAGCGGTCTGCAAAATGCAGTGTGATGTGCAGAATTGGATCGTATAGGTGTGAATACCCATGAGATCCGATTCTAGTGGGGACCCAAAAAAAGGGCCCTGCATGTTTTTGGTGCGGGTGCGGTGAGATTAGAGCAATACAAAATGTATGGCTCCAGTCGCACCGCACGTGATTTGTACAGGAATGCAGTGCGGTTCCTGTGCGAATCACATGCAATATACCACACCGCATATATGTGAATCCAAAGTGAGGATTCACCCCAGAGTCTGGAGCAGCACCTGGCTCATCCTGTCAGCGATCTGCTGAGAGACTGAGCCAGCAGCTCCCTCCCCCTCTACAGTCCATTGCTCCAGTGAGAGCGGGACGGGGAGCAGAGCAGAGAGAGGTGACTGACAGTCATCACTCTCTACTCACAGCGGGGGTGTGAACTTATCAATTAGCAGTCATGTGATTGCTGAGTTCTCACACATAGAGCCGGTGGTGAGGGACAGATGCAGCATTGGAACGAGTACAATTTGGGGAAGCCCCCCAAACTTCTCTCTTTTACATATTGCAGTCTTGTCATATAGATTACTAAGTAATGCTAAAAGTGATTGAAAACAGTTAATAATGTTGTTTTGCTTAGCAATAATTATACTATTTCCATGTCTCCCTTTTCATGTATTCATATTCCTGTGTTCATCCGATTGCTTTTTGCACTGAATTATTCAAAATAAACAATATAAAGAAAGTACTATGATGCAATAAATCCACTTGTTTTGATTTTATTTTTATTTTAAACAACTTCATACCTGTTAGAAACATTTACAATGCTATATTACTAAATTTGTCTTATTGTTCCTGTTTCTCCCACATTCCAGGGGTTTTTGCATTCGGCTTATTTGCAACGGACATTTTTGTAAATGCTGGTCAAGTGGTAACGGGCAATCTCACTCCATATTTCCTGACTGTCTGTAAACCGAACTATACTGGACCAGACTGTCTTGCTCATCATCAGTTTATGAGCAATGGAAACATCTGTACTGGAGAGCCAGAAATGATAGACAAGGCCAGGAGGTCATTTCCTTCTAAACATGCTGCTCTGAGTATCTACTCTGCGTTATATACCACGGTAGGTTGAGAGAGTCTATCAATCATGAAATGAAAATACAGCATTAATATATATACACAGGGGCCTAAGAAATCTTTGCGTGTGTGTGTAAATATAAATATATATATATATATATACATATATATATATATATTTATGATATAAAAAGTCTACACACCCCTGTTAAAATGTCAGGTTTCTGTTATATAATAAAATGAGACAAAGATAAAATACTTTAGAACTTTTTCTACCTTTAATGTGACCTATAAACTGTACAACTCAATTGAATAAAAAACTAAAATCTTTTTCGGGGGGTAAGTAAACATAAAAAACTAAAATAATGCAGTTGCATGCAGGGGCAGACTGACAACTCATGGGGCCCCCGGGCAATAGGGGATCCTGGGGCCCCTGTGTCCTTGCCCAAACTCAAAAAAGCCTATGAAAAAGGTACCAGGGGCATCTCATGGGGCCCCGTACTGACCCCGGGCCCTCGGGCAGTGCCCAAGTTTCCAAATGGTCAGTCTGCCCCTGGTTGCATGTGAACACCCTCTTATAACTTATAACTAGGGATGTACAGTAGATGTGCTCAGAATTAAGCAATCACATTCATAATCATGTTAAATAGGAGTCAGTGCACACCTGCCATCATTTAAAGTGCCTCTGATTAACCCCAAATAAAGTTCAGCTGTTCTAGTAGGTCTTTCCTGACATTTTCTTAGTTGTATCCTACAGCAAAAGCCATGGTCCACAAAGAGCTTCCAAAGCATCAGAATGATCTCATTGTTAAAAAGTATCAGTCAGGAGAAGGGTACAAAATCATTTCCAAGGCATTAGATATACCATGGAACACCGTGAAGACAGTCATCAAATGGAGAAAATATGGCTCAACAGTGACATTACCACGAACTGGACATCCCTCTAAGATTGATGAAAAGACTAGAAGAAAACTGGTCTGTGAGGCTGCAAAGAGGCCTTCAGCAACAATAAAGTACCTGCAGGAATATCTGGCAAGTACTGCCTGTATGGTACATGTGACAACAATCTCCCGTGTTCTTCATATGTCTGGGCTAGGGGGTAGAGTGGCAAGACAGAAGCTTTTTCTTACAAAGAAAAACATCCAACCGCAGCTAAATTTTTCAAAAACACATCTGAAGTCTCTCAAAAGCATGTAGGAAAATTTGTTATGGTCTGATGAAACCAAGGTTGAACTTTTTGGCCATAATTCCAAAAGATATGTTTGGCGCAAAACAAACACTGCACATCACCAAAAGAACACCATACCCACAGTGAAGCATGGTGGTGGCAGCATCATGCTCTGGGGCTGTTTTTCTTCAGCTGGAACTGGGGTCTTAGTCAAGGTAGAGGTAATTATGAACAGTTCCAAATACCAGTCAAAATTGGCACAAAAACTTCAGGCTTCTGCTAGAAAGCTGAACTTGAAGAGGAACTTCATCTTCCAGCATGACAACGACCCAAAGCATACATCCAAATCAACAAAGTAATGGCTTCACCAGAAGAAGATTAAAGTTTTGGAATTGTCCAGCCAGTCCCCAGACCTGAATCTGATTGAAAGTGGGGTGATCTGAAGAAGGCTATGCACAGAAGATGCCCTCGCAATCTGACAGATTTGGAATGTTTTTGCAAGGAAAAGTGGGCAAATATTGCCAAGTCAAGATGTGCCATGCTGATAGACTCATACCCAAAAAGACTGAGTGCTGTAATAAAATCAAAAGGTGCTTCAACAAAGTATTAGTTTAACCCCTTGACACCGACTGTACACAAATATGTAGCCTCTCGGCGGCTGGGCCTTGATGCCAAGCGGCCGCATATTTGCGTACCATTTGAAAACACATATGTGCTGAGAGAGCGCTCCCTGCTTGATCTCAGCACATATGTTGGTATTTCACGGAAAGGTCCTGATCTCCCCTTGCGATCGGGACCTTTTCTGATCATGTGACCACCATGACAGCGAATCACGGCGGTCACAAGACCCTAAAACCCCGCACCACCTTCCGGCTTCTGAAACCCCTTGAAGGGCCAGGAGGCACCGGCGTGAAGCGGTTAAGGGTGTGCACACTTATACAACCATATTATTGTAGTTTTTTATTTTTACTTCCCTCCAACTAAAAGATTTCAGTTTGTCGTTCAAATGAGTTGTACACTTTAAAGGTTACATTAAAGGTGGAAAAAGTTCTGAAATTATTTATCTTTGTCCCAGTTTTGTACATCACAGAAACCTGACATTTTAAAAGGGGTGTGTAGACTTTTTATATCCTCTATGTACAGTGTGTATATATATATATATGTATATATATATATGTGTGTGTATTTATATTATATATATTTTTTATTTATTTATATTAAAACTGTAAAGACATTGGTCTCCTTATTCTCATTAAACCATTAAACTTTCAATTAAATATATTCCTCAGTAGCCACAAAGGATATAAATCCATATATGTGTACTCCAAATACCCTTGCAAAGCCAGATTTTATCTTTTAAAGTAGCGATAACATTATCACTGTACTGTACATACTCTTTGCAGAAAGCAGAGTTGTGGGAGGGGACCCAAAAGGCCCCATCCACTAAAGGCTGCCTGTAGAAAACTACTTGAGAGAGGGAGATAGAAAACCAGCGATCCTGTACAAGGAGAGAGAGCCTCAGTGACTAGTCTTTATTACAGAAAACTACTGCACGGAGGCAAAGTTCTATGCTAGATTGTTGTACAGATCTGAAAGAAATATGGAAAACACACTAAAACTGGCCATACACTGATCAAAATGGGTCCAGTTCTGCATGGGCGGGACAAATTTTGTTTTGTGTGTGGCCACCAGTTGTTTGATTGACTTTTGTCAAAAGGACATGTCGAAAAAATGTTCACAACCAGCAGCTGCAGCCAGTTGGCTGCAATTGATGATCAATGTTGATAGCAGTTGATGAAACTGCTCTTTCACTCTGCTTTCTCTCTTCCCATCAGCAAGGCTCCTAGCTTTATAGCACAATGGACTGGCTCCTTTTTCCTTCCCTCAGTCTGAGCCTTGCTGTAAAGTGATTGCAAGAGGACACAGTCACATTTATAAACCTACACTGCTTGCACTAACCTCTTTCCGTCCGCCCGCTGCATATAGACAGTGAACAGGATGCTTTGCCGATGTGATCTAACATACCTGTACATCAGCCCACATCAGCGGCATGCACCAGTAGTTCGGTGATCGCTATATTGCCCGGATACGATCTGGCGATCACATGGTATTTTACCATGTGACTGCTGTGACCAATCACAGCACTCACATTGTAAACACTATAAAGTGAAACTAAAGAGGAGCAGAGAGAAGTGATCCTGCAGCTTGTGAGTGTACAGCAGCCTATCAGGCTACATTTACACTCACAAACTGCAGTGCCAGCCAACCCAGTGTCCCAGTTTAGTGCAACTGTGTCCCTGATCCCTGCCCCAGTATATCCATAATAAATAATGCAGCCAGCCCCTGTCACCTTTCCCAGTGCACACAAAAACACCCTCATACACTATACCAATGTCCTGATCACCACCATACCAGTGTCCTGATCACCACCATACCCCAAAACAACATCCTGATCACCGCCATACCCCATGCAAGCACCCTGATCACCGCCAACTACCATACCAGCATTCTGATCACTGCCATACCCCATACCAGCATCTTGATCACTGCTGTACCCCATATCAGCATCCTGATCACCTTCATACCCCATACCAACACCCTGAGCACCGCCAACCACCATACCAGCACCCTGATCACCGCCAACCACCATACCAGCATCCTGATCACTGCCATACACCATACCAGCGTTCTGATTACTGCCATACCCCATACCAGCATCCTGATCACTGCCATACCCCATACCAGCATCCTGATCACCCCCATATCAGCATCCTGACTACTGCCATACCAGCGTCCTGATCACCGCCATACCTCATGCTAACGTCCTGATTATTTCCATACATCATACAAGCATTCTGATCACTGCCATACCCCATATCAGCATCTCGATCACTTCTATACCCCATATCAGCATCATGATCACCACCATACCCCAAACCAGCGTCCTGATCACTGCTATACACCATACCAGCATTCTGATTCCCGCTATACCCCATACCAGTGTCCTGATCCCCCCATACTCCATTTCAGTATCCTTACTACCACCATAACAGCGTCCTGATCACTGCCATATCTCATTTTAATGTTCTGATCACTGCCATACCCATACCAGCACCCTGATCAATGCCATACGTCATATCAGCGTCCGGTATTTTAGGGTCTCAACTGATCAATTTTCAAATATATATCCCATAGTTTGTAGACTCTATAGCTTTTACACAGACTAAATAATAAACACGGTTTTGGGTTAATTATACCCCAAATATGTACCAGAATACATTTTGGCCTAAATATATGAAGAAAAAGTATTTATTTGCAATTTTTTTAACAAAAGCTAAGCAAATTTTTTTTCCAAACTATTCAGACATTTTTTGTTTATATAGCAAAAAATAAAAACAAACTCAGTGGTGATCAAATACCACCAAAAGAAAGCTCTATCTGTCTCAAAATAAGGGTAACAATTTCATATACAGTGTTGCACTACTGAGTAATTGTCAATCACAAGTGACAGTGCTGAAAGCTGAAAATTGACCTGTACTGGAAGGGGGTGAAAGTGTCAGGACATGAAATGATTAAAAAAAAAAATCCATATATTCATTGATGTATTAAACCAGAGCTCCAGAAGGAGCTGAAACCCATATAGGTGAACAAAAACACCCAAACTCCCAGGTGGACAGCAATAGAGTTCAGAATGATGTCAGAGACAGTATCCAATGCATATAAGAAACTAGGATCTAACTCAACCCATCAGGTTCCAGCTACAATATAAATATCACTTTTGAGTAAATTGGGCCTTCAAAATAAAGTTACAAAGCAATACAATGTTAATAATTGCTTAAGATCATCAGTGCCTTATCTACCAGTCAGGGGCGGACTGACCATTTGGAAACTTGGGCACTGCCCGAGGGCCCGGGGTCAGTGGGGGCCCCATGAGATGCCCCTGGTACCTTTTTCATAGGCTTTTTTGAGTTTGGGCAAGGACACAGGGGCCCCAGGATCCTCTATTGCCCGGGGGCCCCATGAGTTGTCAGTTTCTCCCTTGCTACCAGTTATATTTTGTTGTGTTTGACTTTCAAATGCAACATTTTTTTTTAGTTAGGTAGGTAAAGTTAAAATGGGAAAGGCTTTTTTTTTACTGCTGTGTTCCTGTTGATGTCTCTGGATAGTAGATAGCAGTATAAAAATGATAGGGGTTCTAATCTTTCCATCCTCTATCCGGAACTAAAGGAAAAACGTTTTGGCTTGAGTAATACTTTAAAGAAAGCTTGGCCTCTTTTTGAAAATGCTAGTTTATGTCTGTCAACTGTCATGCTCATTCTGTGGGTTCAGTACTTCAACTGAATCTGAAATAATCATGCAGTAAGCTGAGCCACCCTAAAATTAGAAATCCTGATCTGCATGCATGTTTCAGGTTAGTCCCTCAAAGTATTAAAGTCAGCTGGTTCTTTACTCAACTAGCACATTTTTTACCTAATTTCACTGACCATATGTTTTAATTTTAATATTATTATTATACATTATTTATATAGCAACAACCATTTACCCAGTGCTTTACAATATAAGGGGACAGTACAATTACAATACAGTTCTATACACAAGGAATAGAAGGGGCCTGCTCATGGAGCTTACAATCTAATATCTTCTAATATGGGGCAAAATCCTCCCTGCTCAGGGAACAGAGCCAAGCCTGGTCCTCCTATGGAAGCTTCTTGCAAATATAAAGATTTAGAACTGCGGCAGCTGAAACTCACACATGTACGACTTCATGAGGATGTGCTTCAGCATTACTAACTCAAGCAACTGGAAATTGTAAATGTTTTGTGAACAATTGCTTCCCTCTAGTGTTTATTCAGAGCATAGACGTGACATTAGATTGTTAAATTTTACAAGGCGATCAGCAGTGGCAATCTTCCAGTACAGGTTTCCTTTAAAAGCCTTAAAATTATAATTGACAATCAATTTGTTTTTGTGTTTCAGATGTATATCACGAGCACAATTAAGACAAAGAGCAGCAGACTAGCAAAACCTGTCCTTTGCCTTGGAACTCTGTGTTCTGCCTTCCTCACCGGACTTAACCGTGTGTCAGAATACAGGAACCACTGCGTTGATGTTATTGGTGGCTTCATTTTGGGGACAGCTGTGGCTTTGTTTTTGGTAATTATGATTACAATAATAATAATAGAGGGCAGTTTGATAAATTTAGCACAATGGCTAAGTGGTTTGTTCTCTTTGTTTGCTGCACTGGACCCATGGGATCAGTTCCCACCCAAGACATTACCCGCAAAGCTTGTAATGGTTTCCTTTTGCCAAAAACTAGAAAGGTATTTGTTAGTGTACTTGAATAAAAGTGGTGAGAATAATTTAACCTCCACTGGAGTAGCGGCTGACTAAGTTCCTTTATGTTATCTGCAGAGTACTGCCAATCTTGTTTGCCCCTATATTAATCAGTGTACACAGCAATAAATTAAAGAGTTTGATCATATTGACTAATAAAAACTCAGTGAACAGAATTGCAGATAATGCTCCTGGTTATTGTTAATAGCCTTTTGTTAAACTTAGCTAGTCAATTAGTTAGTTAGATTTTACATTGGCTACAATGTAATCTGATGACATACTATCAACCAGAGATGAGTGAATGTGTTCAGATTTGGTGACCAAGCAAATCTTGACCTGCAACCTGCTTCACGTGTCAGATTATTTGCCACAAATCACTGGCACTAAAGAAGTTCACTACCATAGTATGTGTGGGTACCTTTACAAGCTCAATCTCAATTTAACTCTGTAGTATGCAGCTCATGGGTGTATCATTTCAAATATATATATATATATATATATATATATATATATATATATATACAGTCATGGCCGAAATTGTTGGCACCCTTGATATTTCTCCAGGAAATCATGTATTTCTCACGAAACGTATTGCATTAACACATGTTTTGCTATACACATGTTTATTCCCTTTGTGTGTATTGGGACAAAACAAAAAAAAAGGGAGGAAAGAAAGCAAATTCGACATAATGTCACACAAACCTCCAAAAATGGGCTGGACAAAAGTATTGGCACCCTTTCACAACTGCGGATAAATAAGAATGTTACAAGCATGTGATGCTCCTGTAAACTCACCTGGGGCAAGTAACAGGTGTGGGCAATATAGAAATCACACCTGAAAGCAGATAAAAAGGAGAGACGTTCACTTAACCTTTGCATTGTGTGTCTGTCTGTGCCACACTAAGCATGGACAACAGAAAGAGGAGACGAGAACTGTCTGAGGACCTGAGAACCAAAATTGTGGCAAAATATCAACAATCTCAAGGTTACAAGTCCATCTCCAGAGAACTAGATTTGCCTTTGTCCACAGTGCGCAACATTATCAAGAAGTTTGCAACCCATGGCACTGTAGCTAATCTCCCTGGTCGTGGACGGATGAGGAAAATTGATGAAAGATTGCAACGCAGAATAGTCCGGATGGTGGATAAGCAGCCCCAAACATGTTCCAAAGACATTCAAGCTGTCCTGCAGGCTCAGGGAGCATCAGTGTCAGCGCGAACTATCCGTCGACATTTAAATGAAATGAAACGCTATGGCAGGAGACCCAGGAGGACCCCACTGCTGACACAGAGACATAAAAAAGCAAGACTACAGTTTGCCAAAATGTACTTGAGTAAGCCAAAAGCCTTCTGGGAAAACGTCTTGTGGACAGATGAGACCAAGATAGAGCTTTTCGGTAAAGCACATCATTCTACTGTTTACCGAAAACGGAATGAGGCCTACAAAGAACAAAACACAGTACCTACGGTAAAATATGGTGGAGGTTCAATGATGTTTTGGGGTTGTTTTGCTGCCTCTGGCACTGGGTGCCTTGACTGTGTGCAAGGCATCATGAAATCTGAGGATTACCAAAGGATTTTGGGTCGCACTGTAGGGCCCAGTGTCAGAAAGCTGGGTTTGCGTCCAAGATCCTGGGTCTTCCAGCAGGACAATGACCCCAAACATACGTCAAAAAGCACTCAGAAATGGATGGCAAAGAAGCGCTGGAGAGTTCTGAAGTGGCCAGCAATGAGCCCAGATCTAAATCCCATTGAACACCTGTGGAGAGATCTTAAAATTGCTGTTGGGAAAAGGTGTCCTTCCAATAAGAGAGACCTGGAGCTGTTTGCAAAGGAAGAGTGGTCCAAAATTCCGGGTGAGAGGTGTCAGAAGCTTATTGATGGTTATAGGAAGCGAATGATTTCAGTTATGTTTTCCAAAGGGTGTGCAACCAAATATTAAGTTAAGGGTGCCAATACTTTTGTCCAGCCCATTTTTGGGGTTTTGTGTGACATTATGTCATATTTGCTTTTCTGCCTCTGTTTTATATTTGTTCCAATACATACAAAGGGAATAAACATGTGTATAGCAAAACATGTGTTAATGCAATACCTTTTTTGTGTGAAATACTTGATTTTCAGGAAAAATATCAAGGGTGCCAACAATTTCGGCCATGACTGTATATATATATATATGGGACGTTCAAATCAAACTGGGACTTTTAATTTTACAGGTTTACAGGTATAAAAAGGGATGCTAGCGTGGCGGTACTACACACAGTAGTAAGTGGCAAGTGTGTCCTATTACTGATAGGCGGCGCACGTGACGCAGGCCAGTCCAGAGAACGTTAACCAAGATGGCAGACAACAGTGTTAGTGCGTGCATAGAATAACATGAGGTGATGAAGTTTCTCACAAAAGCGTAAAACCCGCAGATATCTACAGAAGACTTCAACCACAGTACGGTGATTAGATGCTCAGCTGCAGTAAAACATTTGAGTGTTGTAAACCTTTCAGAGATGCGCATACATCCGTCAGTGACGATCCAGACCATGATGGTTCCCAGCCCACAGCAGTCATTCCTGTGAACATTCAGCACATTAATGCCTGATCCTGGATAATCGATGCATAACCTGTCATGAAATTGCACAAGAGACAAATCTTTCTGTGGGAATGGTGAACACAGTGATGACAAAGTGAAGCAGGCTGTCCTAGAATGGTTCAGGTGTACTGACAAATCTTTTCATGCCGAAGCTTTCCAGGCAATAAACTCTGGGATAAGTGTATACAGTAAATTTAGCAGGGGAGTATGTCGAAAAATAAATGCAATTCCACTCGAAATGTGTTCTTGTTTATATAAACTCAAAAGTCCTGGTTTGACTTGAACGCCCCTCATATATTTAGTGGACTAGAGATGTGCACAATAGAAAAATTTGTTTCCTTTCATTTCATTTTCATACGTTAAGTAAATAATTTCATTTTGTCATAATCATTATATTAGAATGATTCGACATAAATATTAATTGTTTTGAATTGATTCATATTTTTGGAAGTTCTGTTATTCTTTTGTTATTTTGCAAGATTGGCTATATTAGTTTTAATGTTAATTCGTTATTTTGGGAAATTACTTATGCACTCTGAGACATCCCTGCTAGCCCAACCCACAAAGAGAAATGGAATGAGCTGATTGGATTATACTGACTGGAGTAATGAAAGTAACGAATGGAACTAAATACATTTTGGATTCATTCATTATGTTATGATTCAGAGATTCTGATAGATTTACCTCCATCCAATCCGTACACAATAAGTAGGAATCATCATTTTATTTCATTTTTATACCTTACTGTATTTATTGCAATATGTTGCAAGCTGATTGGATTATACTGACTGGAGTAATGAAAGTAACGAATGGAACTAAATACATTTTGGATTCATTCATTATGTTATGATTCAGAGATACTGACAGATTTACGTCCATCCAATCCGTACACAATAAGTAGGAATCATCATTTTATTTCATTTTTATACCTTACTGTATTTATTGCAATATGTTTCCATTTCTCACGTACTGCATTTTTTATAAAGAAAAATGTTAATGCTAAATAAAAACGAAAACAATCCAAAACAATTCAGATCATACGTTATGTTATTTCGGATGCTTCAAACATTAACATAAGGCCCAAACTATCACATCCTGTCATCTGGATGAAATGAATGAATACAAATGAATTAGTTGTTTTTGTTATAATTTATTTTGGATTCATTGCAATTCATTACTACTGGGATTTGGAGATTTGGATACATCCGAATTGCAGAATCACACACACATTTTGTCCAAATTTCAATTTGTAATAAACAAATTGCACATGTCTATATTCGACCTTTCACTTTAAGGGTAAGTCAGATGGCTGCTCACAACAGCTTTTTGAGAAATCACCCAACATGTGAAACAGACATAAAAAGCAAGTGTCTAAGAAGATAGTACATATTTACCCTTGGCTCCAAATTTATTTTTTGAAATTCCCAACTTACCTGTGGCTTAAAGTATTTGTTTGGCACTGAAATCATAAAAAATATGCAAATGATGAAATGCAGTGACTTACCCCCTCACTTTTGGTTTTTGGTGAGAGACATGTGCTGACAGGAAACAACTACCAGCAGGATCTCTTTCTCTAGAAAACCCATAATCCTCTAATAAATATATATATATATATATATATATATATATATATATATATATCAGAAAACATTGATTTAACCATTTTAGTTAAACTTTAAAGTTATATGGTAGTGATGGGTTCATAAATCCCAAAATAAAATTTTGAAAACAAATTACAGTAAGTATGTCTTAGATATTATTTCTGTTGGACTGCCACCCAGGTTGCATTTTGCCTGCCTTGAAAATTCCCCTTTTACTGATGATATCTCCTGAGTGCATCACTTTTGATGAACAAATGTTTGCTTACTGTTACCATTATGCAATAAATTACTTATGAAATACAGTACGAAATTGTAATATAGTATATGCTATAGATTTTAATAGTCATGCATTCCTCATTTAAAGTCCTTAGAGAATTATTAGAGATAAGGTACAAAGGAAAAGTTTTTATCTCCTCTGGGAGATTAATGGCAGTGGTACTTGCATAATGTTGCATCATGTAACATTCTGTAAAAACACAAGGATAATCTCAAGAGATTCAATTGCAGTTTACACTTTACAAGCTAGTGTATAAGCTAACCATACACACAGGGGTATGAGTATCTGTGTCTTTTCAGCGGTACTACTGCACATGATTTATTGAAAAATGATTGACCACTATGACTGTAGTAACAAACTGATATAAGATATGTAGCAGCTGCATATCTTATATCTGTATACCATACACTACATTGCATTAATTAATTGATAGAATAACACAGGTCTGCGACTAAAAAGCTGTTTGATTATTTTCATCTAATTTCCATGTATTTTAGTGTGCTGAAAACAAATAAAATGTTGAAAAAGCTCCTAGACGTCATGATTTGCCACAAAATGCAAAATTGTCTTCAAATTTATCAATTTTTTAAAATTTTTGGTATTTTTTTATATTATGGGTGTTTAACCAAATTTAAAGTCCAAATTACTATTAATTAATTCACATAAGTGCATTTAAGATATAAAATGCCAAAAAAAACCTTAAAGGGGTTGTCCGAGTTATGTAAAAAAAAATATAGCACTGTAAATCTGTTGGTCAGCAATATATACATAAGCTAAGCAAGTTTTAGGGGGAAAAAAATCTATTTCCTCATTTCCCTAGTTCCTTTCTGGCCCTTTGTTGTTATTTGCAGGTAAACAATCTCTGCCCCTCCCCCCCTGCAAAGGGAGTGAATACAAGTGCTGCTCTGAGTGACATGTCTGACTACTGGGATACTCAGCAACATGCTGTTTGTGTAAGCCTCAGCCCTGAGTCTGTGCTTCTAATGGTAGAAGGGGTTAATCTTTCCTGAAGAATCCAGTGGGTGGGATACCAAATACCCTTGTTTTCTGTGTCTATGGGACAGTCGAGATCGACAAAATCACTGGATCAAGAAGAGCTGGCAGCCAAGGGTGCTAACAGTCGGTAAAACAAATGCCCTCCGAGAAACTTTGGTACCTTCCCATAAAGTTCTACCACCTCTCCACATAAAATTGGGATTGATGAAGCAATTCGTAAAATCACTTCCAAGAGTTGGAGAATGCTTCAAATACTTGGTCACCAAGTTTCCAGGCCTGTCGGAGGCAAAATTGAAGGAAGGTGTGTTCGTCGGAGCAGACATTAGAAGGCTTATAGTTGATCAAGAGTTTGTCAATACCATGACGGATCCTCGAAAAGAAGAGTGGATTGCATTTAAAGAAGTCGTATAGAAATTTTTAGGCAATAACAAAGATCCTCACTACAAAAAGATCGTCGGACGAATGCTGAAAGCATTTCAAGCTTTAGGTTGCCTGATGCATTTGAAAGTGCATTTCCTCCAGTCCCACCTTGACTACTTTCCTGAAAATTTGGGAGCTGTGAGTGAGGAACAAGGTGAACGATTCCACCAAGACATTAAAGAGATGGAAAGGAGATACCAGGGAAAATGGAGCATTACAATGATGGCAGACTACTGTTGGATGCTTCAGAGAGACATTCCAGATGCTACTCACAAGCGTAAATGCACCAAGAGGAGCCCCACAGGGAAGAAGAATTGAGTTTAGTGTGTGTAGGTGAGCTCATTTCAGTTCAAAAAAGGATTTGCATGAAAAAATTGTAATAAAACTTTAATTGTATAAGTCTATTTCCATTTATTTTGAGGTATTGCCTTATTTAACATAGTTACCTAAATTGTCAGGAAACGTGATGTCCAATGACAAAATGGAGGTCATTTTCGGATTCAGTGCACCAAAAAACATAAAGATTACGTGGAATAACCAAAACAGCTCTTGAAAAAAAATTTTTTGCAGACCTGTGTAATTGATTAACCTGCAACCATGTAGCATATCTTGAGAAGTGATTTTCAGTTTTAGTTGAACGCCTAAAGAATATCACCTTTACCATGAGTGTGTGGGTATCAATGGCCAATTTAGTGGATACAATAATAATTGTAACATCAATATTTATGTATTACTATAACATGTATAATTTAACATCAATATTTATGTATTACTATAACATGTATATAACTGTTATTTGTGTATTTTTTTCACAATCGTAAAATTTGTATTCTCTATTGGTGCTGTTTTTCTAAATTTACATTTTAATGTCTTTATCATGTTTTAGGGCTTGTGTGTTGTCCATAACTTTAAAGGAACACATGGATTTCCCTCTAAACCGAAGCCTGAAGACACAAGGGGGATGCCTCTAATGGCTTTCCCCAGAGTGGAAAGTCCTCTGGAGACTTTGAGTGCTCAGGTATTTTCCCTTTGTCCATTTTATCTAAATATGCATAGGGCTTGATTTATTAAAACTGAAGAGTTTAAAATTTGTTGCAGCTGTGCATTGTAGCCAATCAGCTTCTAATTGTCAATTCAATTAAAGTGGTAGTAAACCACAACATAAAAAAAAAAAAATCCCCTGCAAGGCAATGGGCTACTAGCACAATATGAAATACTTACCTTAGAACAAACCCCTCCAGCAGTGCTTCCATCTTCAATCGGTCTTCCTTCCTTCACCAGGGCTTCCATCTTCACGGGTCTTTCATGGGCCATGGCACAGCGCTCTGAAGGAATGACACGGGTATGCCGTTCCTTTAGAGCACATGCGCCGGTGTACACTGTACACTTGATACACTGTACTGTATCAATTGAGGGTCAGCATTGTCACTCTCCTGATTTTGACTACAAATACCTCCTCCACACTTTGTTTCTATTATGTGGGGGAAGGTGTTCTGTGGTTCTAAGAAGTTAGCTTAAAAAAATAACACAAGTGGAGATATTCTGGCAGAATCAGGTATTTTCTGTACTTGCAGAAAATGCACTACCGCTATATATGTATTTATGGACTACAATATTTTTTATTTTTGTTTTTAGTTTAGATATCCCTAAACTCTTTGTAAGAGTTACTATACGTTGGGGTTTATTTACCAAAACTAGATAGTGCAGAATCTAGTGCAGCTATGCATGGTAACCAATCAGCTTCTAACTTCAGCTTGTTCAATTAAGCTTTGACATAAAATCTGAAAGGTGATTGGTTTCTATGCAGAGCTGCATCAGATTTTGCATTCTCCTGTTTTAGTAAATCAACCACACTTATACAAACCTTACATGGGGATTAGACTCTGACTCTGTAATGATGGTAACAAATGGTTAAATTTAAGGTCCCTGACAAGGACACTTAGGAATAACTTGAGGGTGGAGGAAATGAGATTTAATCTGAAATTGTGTAGGGAATTACTTACATTGGAATTCAGTGGTATCAACTTGGAGTGTTGATGCCTTCATACGTTGGAGTTGATGGACCTGCATCTTTTTTCCAACCATACTGTGTGTCTATACTCTCATAGGTGAGCAGGGTGGCAGTGGAGCATGGGAAATGTAAGTATGAATAAGTGGAAAGGGTTCCTTAGTAAGAGAACCTGTCATTTTGCCATGAATTAGCAAAGTAACAGATTGTCTTCAAGGCACCAAAATGTACAGTATAGATAGTCTAAGGAAAACTCTTGTCTTCTGCAAATGTGCCTGTGCAATTGTGAGGGCATGCAGCCATGCACATTGGGTGTGCTTGCACATGAGAGCATATCCTCATTACTAGCACAACAACTTTCAACTAGTGATCTACTGACAAAGCAGTGTTGCTTTAAAGTGTTACTAAACCCAGGACCCTGCATTCACTATATCTATATGGCTCTCTCACAGTACATACAACATGGAAATGCAACTATTTTAGTAAATATAAACTGCTAAATATCTGTAAGGGACCGCCCGGTGGTACCACTAGCGCTCCACTGATCAGGCGTCCCCAGAGCACGGAATCTAAGCCCCAGAGTACTTGTCCACCAGGGCCCCTGATGGTGGGGATGGACTTGGAGTACCCTGAGACCAGGTCGTGACTACTGAGCATGCCCGTCAGTGGTAGGGGTATTCGCCAGGGGCTCCCGCAAGGGAGTGCCTGATATGAGGAGGTCGGGTGACCCCGATTGGATGGATGGCTGAGCAGGTGCAAGGTCAGACAAGCCGGGTCGGTAGCCATGGGGACGGTGCGGTACAAAGCAGCGGGCAGAGAATAGTCGGGTCACACGCCAGGTCAGTAACAGAAAGTCAGATCCAATAGGGGGCACCCGGGAGAGAGGTCAGGCAAGCCAAGGGTCAGAGCAGGAGAATATAGCATGGTCAGGTACAATCCGGGTCAGCAACTTACAGGATACAGGTTCACAGGATCACGAATGCAGGTAAGACCAGAAGGCACTGAATGACAGCTCAGGGCCGTTTAAATATCGCGTCCTGCGCCGTCATTGGTGCCAGGCACGCGCCTGTGGCTCCTAGTGCGCATGCTCGAACCTGGATGCTGCGGCCGGCCAGGACCTAGTGCCCGCGTCCCTGCACAAGGCGGCGCACTGCGCCTGCGCCGGGACCAGCACCGCGGGGATCCCTGACAATATCTTTTCTCATCAGCAGTTAGAGTGGTCTTGTGACTTCTAGCAGTGTCCAGCCAAGCACTGGTTACAGCTTGTAGGAGGAGTTTTCATTTTCCTGTAGCAGGAAGCAGGACCTCTGTATGGCAAGTGCTGATTGGCCCTGTGCTGATCACATGCACTTTCCTGAGAGAAAAAAAAAACCCTCTAGCAATAAACACCAAACTGAGCATGTGCAGCTTGTCCCTAGTCTCTGTTCTATCAGGAGATATTTGGGAGACACTGGAAGAATGGGAGGATCACAGAAGAGATGATTACACATCCTTTTTACACAATGCTAAGGAATAACCCCTTAGGTTCCACAGTGAGTATAACAAGCATGCTCTACTGCATATAGAGACTGACTGATTTTATTGTTGTGGGTTTAGTAACACTTTAATTATTGCTACACTGTGGGGTTGATTTACTAAAACCAGGAAGTGCAAAATCTGGTGCCACTGTGCATGGTTGCCAATCGGCTTCTAACTTCAGATTGTTCAATTAAGCTTTGACTAAAAAAAACTGGAAGCTGATTGGTTTCATCGCACTCTGCAGCAGGGGCAGACTGACCATTTGGGAACTCGGGCACTGCCCGAGTACCTGGGGTCAGTAGGGGGCCCCATGATATGCCCCTGGTATCTTTTCATAGGGTTTTTTGGGTGTTGTTTGAGTGTGGGATAGGACACAGGGGCCCCATCATCCCCTAGTGCCTGGGGGCCCCATGAGTTGTCAGTCCGCCCCTGCTCTCCAGTTGAAGTACATCAGCCTCAATGTCTAATAAAGCTGCAGTAATATAACCAAAAAGTAAAAACATTTTTAAAAATAGGTGAAGCCACCTAATTAGAATGACTTGGGTCTCAAAGGATCAATATATCCACAATCATAAAAGTGTTACAGTATTTTTAAATTTGTTAAACATATGTTTAAATTGTGTTTCATTCGTAGTTATCTGTATTCCATTTTCACCTTCCATCTTCACCTACCCCTGCATGCCCACAGTTTTAAATCTGACTAACTATAAAAGTGCGACTATGTGATTAATTTAATTCCCTGTCCTTTTTAAAGTAATTATAGAGTCATTTTAGAGTAATCATGGAATATGATAAGAAAAGAAATTGAAGAGTGTCCAGATACTGGACTTTTGTCTCTCTTAGCAGCCATCCATTTGGGACTACATAAGTTACTGCATAGCTATCATACAATTGAAACACTTTCTGGGCATCCTAATATAAAACTTTACAAAAGATAAAATATATGTTATTAAAGAGAACCGAGTTTAGCATGGCTTAGAAGCAGACACCCACTGGATATTTTATCATTCCCTAAAAATCAGGGAAACTTTTAGGAAGAAAAATTCAGTATCTTTGGTGAATTCCAACAGCTATATATGTAAGTGCAGTTTTTCAACTGTATAAACAGAAAAAGATTATAGCAATATGCACAGGCACTGTTTTACTTCCTTATACTGCTATATAATGCAATGCTAAAATTCAGATATTTTGGAAAAGCTATAAATATTTGCACAGGATGGAAATAACTATTATACACAATTGTCAAGAACAGTATTATTTGTTCAATTGCAATAATAGTAAAGCATCCTACAAAAAGTTACAAGTGTTCCCTCTAGTGATAGAGAAGGATTACTACAAGCTACCTGCTTCTATGGAGTTAGCTCATATTCCAAATGATCCAACATTTAAATGGAGTTTTTGATATATGCAGTATATTACAGTGTTCATCTTTTTTAAAATTCTGTAATCTTTCATAAACAACCCAATGTTATCAATGACCTTCCCCCCTAGTGTGTGTCAAGTTCTTCCATGTGCCCTCTATTGCATATTTTTATTGCTAGTACCCCTTAATATGTAGAACATGCTTGCTTACAGCAAAGATGGATGCAGACACAGGGCCAGGCCATGCTGCTGGAAACAGGATTTATCTCAGTAAAGGTAACCCATTATATTGGCATTTTTCCAAAGCTTTCAGGGTTTGGCACAAATGTGTAATTAACCAGTTGTAGACTTTGGGCATACGGTATATGCACTAAACACTTGTACCTTCGTGGTATGCCATTTGCACTGTTTTTTTTTTTTCCCCTTGCCAATGCTCCTGAGCCACTATTACCAGCAAATGTACTTTAGAAGTGGCTGTAGCCATTGCTGTGTAAAATGAATCTTAAATACAATGTTTCAAAGCTGGATTGAGTAATACTGTACAAAGTAACAACATTTATTGTTACATTGTATTTACTCTGTTTCATTCATGCGCAGATCAAAAGGGTGACCTTTTGGTCTGCTAGTGATATTAGTTAAAGCAGCCTTACAAGTAAAAAAATGTTTAAATAAAATGTGTTCCTATTTAAACCCTTATTAACACTTAGTTAACCCTAATCAGCCCCAATTAACATCTTCCTTTTCTTCTCCTTGTTTTTCTGCTGATTTTTTTTTAAACCTTTTTTAATTTTCATTCATTTTGCTCATTAACTTTTTATTTTATTGTTGCATTGAAAACATGTGCAAAATTGGGGAAAAAAGTTTTTAATTCATTTGTAAATTACTTAAAAAAAACTTTGTTCCAGAAACCTAATTTTAGTGTCATTATAAATGGCACAAATTATACAATAAAATGTTTATTTTTTACCTAAGGTAACACTGGTTGTTTGAAAACATATACTGGTCAAACTAGAAAAAAAATCTTTTCCTTAGTATAAAGCGGCTGGAGCATCCAAAACAAAAGTGAGAAGCTGTATGCACAATTTAACACTGAAGCATTGTCGGAGCTTGGAGAGAATATCGGTGAATGTGCACTATAGGAGAGGTCTGATGGAACCAGGGTTCTTCAAAACATGATGAGGTGGTGCAGCTTCTGGGTCCTGACAATGCTAGGGAGCAATCTATAGTAGCTTGGTACTACTTGGTTTTTTAGGGGCATCATCAAGGTAATGTCTTGCCATTAAAAGAGAGAGCTCTTTTGGTTTTACTTCTCCTGTGGATGAGCACAGTCCATTCTGAACTCCTGTGACCTGTTTTCAGCTGAGCTGGGGCTGGGGAAAGATATCGACTTTAAAGTCAGACTGGAGCCGCACCTGGTGAGCTGACAGTGACTGTACAATCCAAATGCACACGTTCCTGCATTAAAAGTGGCTGTGTGTATAAGTGGGTGCTGCAGCGACCATCGGCTGGAACCGAAGAGAATCAGCAAGGGAGAATGTCACCAATACACCGAGGATCACCAATATGGGTCCAAAAGTTTTAATGAACAATCACATAGTTACAGCAAGGCAATGTTTCAGAGTCTCGCAGGACCCCTTCATGCCCGATAAAGGGGTCCTGCAACACTCCGAAACGTTGCCTTGCTGTAACTATGTGATGAGTCATTAAAACTTTTGGACCCATATTGGTGATCCTCGGTGTGCTGGTGACATTTTCCCTAGCAGTGACTGACAGTCACTGATCTCTGCTTACAGTGGTGGTAAGTACTCAGTGATCACTGAGTGATCGCTGAGTTCTCACACTTAGAGCTGGCGGGGACATATGCAGCATTGGAACGGTGCTGCATCCACCTAGGTAAGTATAATTTGGGAAAAAATAGAAACCCATACTTTTCTTTTAACCTAGGCTGCAGAAAATGATTATTCTAGTAATGCAAATAGATTATGGATACCTTGCAATAGACTTTTTTCACTTGCATGGAGGAACACATTGAGTATGTAACACAGAAGGCAACATAATATTTTCAATATATTGTAAATCATGGGCACACAAATTTGTTAATGCCCATCAGAAATTCTCACTTCTCATTTCATACTTTAAAGGACACACAGATATATATAACTGTTCTTTCAGTTTCAGATAGTCTTTAAAATACCTGTTTACCTGTAGCCTACATATTGTTGACTTTTCATCCAGTACTAGGTTCCCAAAGTTTATCTATCTGATCACTGTCAATTTTAGGAAAGCGAGTGACATTATGTGTACTATGGTGTTTGTTATGGGTACCTTAAAACAATGTTTTTCAAATGTTTATCAAAGTATGTATTTACACATAAAAGCCAGCATTTGCCAAGTTCTGATGTGGATCAGTTTATCAGTTCACGTGACTCTAATATGATCATATAATAGGAAGACATGGTTTTTGTAACTCACAGATTTGGAACTGTTACAGAGTATCAGCTAAGGGTAATTAGAGCAAGACTACTTGGCATGTGAAATTGAAGGTGTGCAAAAAGGTGTAAATAATAAAAAAGTAACAGTTCCCCATTCAGCTGGTATCTGTATTCTCCTAGAGAAGGTTAGAGTATTAGTCCACCTTAATTTGCAAACAGAGCAAGCCCCATCAACCATGATTCAGGGAACATTTCATACATTCAGATTTTGAAGGGTTGGTGGGTTTAGATTGGTCTTTTCAACAAACCTCCAAGGGACCCCAGGTGCACCTATTTCCATTCTAGATCCCACTCCTACTTACAGGTGAGCTGCATTGTCTTACTGTCTTTTAGGGACTGAATTCCACAATCACACAAGGGCAGGAAGCACAATACTACAGCGGACGTACCATGTCATATTCAGAAAGACTTTCCCTTAGCAATTTAACAAGTTTAAATACCAGCTGTATAGTATTTCCTCTGGTTTACATATAGCAAGGATGAATGAACTGGATCTTAAAACATATACTGGCCTCATGATAACATTTGCATATCTCCCAAATTTTTCACTCTTTGAACCAAATCGCTCTGTTCTTTTTTTACCCCTCATTTGATGTATAGATTCCTATAAAAATCACCACATATGTTAGAAAGTAACTGTACAATCTTCTTTATATCTACCAACATTTATGTAGTACAAGGGCCTATGTGATTGGATAGCTTAGGTCATCATAATATATTGTTTGGGTAAATCTAAATTTGTACAAAGACAATATGGTCAGATTGTAAAGTGTAATGTGAACTTAACCCCTTGGTGCCTCCCAGCCCTATAAGGGTTTCAGAAGCCAGGAGGCGTGGTGGGGTTTTAGGGACATATGACCGCCGTGATTCGCCGTCACGGCGGTCACATGATCGGGAAAGGTCCCGATCGAAAGAGGAGATCGGGACCTTTCCATGAGTACCGGACATGTGTGCTGGGAGCGCGCAGGGCGTGTGCACTCTCAGCACATATGTTTTTCTGCATTGCACGCAAATGTGCAGCCACTCGGCGACATTTGAGTGTGGCTGACGCCAAGAGGTTAAAAGTATGCATTATTTAACTAAAAAAACTTAGCTTAACATTTCATTCAACCTTTATAATTGCTTTTGTTATTTTAAAAGCAAATATTATGCAGATATTATGTTGAAAAACACATTTCAAAGTGTACCAACCACTTTGGGGAATTATTAAAAAAATGTCTGAGACATGTCTCCACCAGTTTTATTCCCCATAGTAAACAATCAGCTTCTATCATTATTTTTTTTCTGCACAGCTTAGAAAACGCCACTTTAAAAGCGGATAGCCTGCACTCCAGTTGAGACAAACTTTATGTAAGGTTTGTCTTCGATACCTTTCATTTTCACCTTTATAAATATAAATTCTGTATAGTTAGTATAATTTGGCTGGTTGGAATGTCTCTTTTCCCTACATACTTTCCTCAGTGTACTAAACAGTGTCCCTGTCTTCGGTCTCAAAAAGTTGGGATGTATGCATTTGCATAAATTTGTGTTAAAGTTTTAGGAAATCTTACATAAATATAACTCATTCCTGGCTTTTTGTATCTTCTGGGGATATATTATGGAAATACTGTACATACAGCAATCGGGGATATGGTTGCCTTGCTTGGCTTAAAGAAAAGTGTTATTTTTATAGCTAGTGTGTAGAGTGCAAAGAATGTAGGTTCACAGGAATGCTTAAGTCCTTAGGTAGATACACCCACAAGTATCCACCCAAAACAGAAATACCAGTTGTGGCATATTCAGTGTGGTAAAGGGAAAATGCAGTATCTCATAACAACCAAGTGTTTGCTGAACAGACTTTAAAATAATTTTTCATTTGATGCCATTGTTTAATGTATTTTGGCACATCATTATTGCTCTATGCATCTTTCAACAATATCTTTCTTCTCCTAAAATGTTGTATTTTTTAAAAACTTCTATGGATTAATGTTCCTAGCTGGTCTAATGATTATTTTTACATGTCCTTTTCACAGAATCACTCTTCATCGATGACTGAAGTCACTTGAAATCTTTTATGGAAATATAAAGAACTGTTTTTATACTACATTAGCGCAAGAACAACAAGAAACACAGTTGCTCAATGTTAAACTGTGATTATCAGTATTATGTTCTATCTAGTTAGCTAGATGTTTTGTACAATTTTGTTCAAGGAAGTGATGTAGCTTGCCCTAATATTTTGTTTTATTCTATTGTAGTGTCAACTTCAACATCCCATTATTATGCCATAATGCAATTTTCTCCTGTTATGGTATATGGTGCACTAAAAAACTACCATCTTTTTGAATCGTCAATGTTATGTGATCATGTTTGTATACAATTTTTGTATTATTTTATATGCATTAAACTGCTGTGTAAATTAAAATGCTATCAAACATTTTAATTTTATTTCTTTACAAAACAGGAGATTTTTATACTTGAAATATGTATAGGAATGAGCATAACATTTTTCTTTTCTACTAAGTTATGAATTATGCTCCAAAACACTTCTACTAATCTTTATTAGTAACTGACATATTACACTTGTATGGGCAGATTTTTTCATGTTGTTTCAGCTTAAAGATACATTAAAATGTAGATTGACAGTACAGTTACATCTGTGATTTGACAACTGTTAAAAAGTATATGTTTTCTGAAATGGTATTTTGTACAGGGCCTGATGATAAGATTAATGCACCCACTCAGCTATAATAGGGCCCAGGGATGGAGAGCATGCTGTATACCAATGTAACCTAAGAAAGTACATTTAGGGTGGGTATTTTGAGAATGAGGACCACAAGGATAGGATTCCAAAAATTGTATAGGAAATCCAAAGCAATACCAGCCAAAGTTAAAGGTAGATTCTCATAAAATCCTCCTATTGACAGTTATGTCCTGTAAGTAATCAATTTCACTATAGATACTTAAGATTGTAACCAGATACCATTCATCCGTTCCCTTGTTACTATATGTGTCACAGAATGATGGAGTGGGCCTCATAGCAGCTACCAAGCTTCCATTAATTGTTATTCCTATCTTTGCAAGATATTGACTCATTAATACATGTATATAACAGTTCAGCAAAAGAAAAAAAAAATGTAATTTAGTTCAAAGTTAAATGATGCTGGTGTTGTCTATGAAATTTTTACGTCATTGCATTTGCCTTCCCGGGAGTAAGCAAACAGGTGTCATTGGGTATCCTTTAGCTTCAGAAAAGACATCAAGTTCTAAGTATACAACTATAGTGAAACTTTTCTTTCATACATGTATATAACAATTCAGCAAAAGAAAAAAAAATTGTAATTTAGTTCAAAGTTAAATGATGCTGGTGTTGAAATTTTTACGTCATTGCATTTGCCTTCCCGGGAGTAAGCAAACAGGTGTCATTGGGTACCCTTTAGCTTCAGAAAGGACATCAAGTTCTAAGTATACAACTATAGTGAAACTTTTGATTTTTATAAATAATATAAACATGCTACAAACTTGAAACAAAAGCATCAGCTTAGTCAGTGTTGAATGATCTATTTTAAAATTTTGACATGGAAAAAATGTGCCCATATCAATTTGCTGTTGTCATAAAAAGCAGCTGCTGTATGACATTTTCTTTCACTGCTGCTATGGTGCCTGCATGTGGGTTCCAAACTCACTTTTTATACATGCTGTTGATGACACTTGTTTTAGCTCATAGTACTTATGTGTACTACAACAGACATAACAGACAACATTTATCAGGTTGAAATGGACCTAATTCACAGATGATTTTTACACAGGCCATAGACGGTTCGTTTATCGGCCAATTTTTCATCCTAAAGAATAATCGGCCGATTTTCGCACTGTTAGTGGGGCAATGGCATCAGACGATTTTCGCGGTTCCCCCTCATTTTCGTTTATTGGTTATGCTGGAAAATTTGTGAAAAACAGCCGATCATCATTGGTGGCAACATCAGTTTACAGAACAAACAATGTTTTGTTTTTCGGACGAAAAATCTGCCGGTAAATGAACCGTCTATAGCCTGCATTAGAGCCTGTGTTGAAGGTCCTTGGGCTTGGGTTGTTAGAGAAGTGCAGCTGTTTCCAATTGCATTTAACTGTATATTGAGTTGTTTGAGTTTCCTTCAAGAACATACACAGTTTGTTGATGGGTGCATTCGATCTGCATGTGACCTCTTTCTGACCAGCATTTGATCTCTTTCTAAACTGCATCAATCTTCTTGGAGCTGCTTTTGTATTTCCACTGACTTTCAAGCTGCAAATGATGGTTGACACAGGCCCTACAATGCAGGTTAGCTGAATCAGAAACCCACTTTGTGACATTATGCCGATTGATGTGTCCTGCAGTCCTGCACACTGGAAAACCGTTTGTTAGAACCATAGTAGTAAATAAGGGATATAAAGTGCAAATTACTTTGCATCAGCGGTAGAAGCTTGAAGCAGGAGCCCAGCTACTTCTCTGGAAAGAAACCCCTGTGTATTGCTTCTTGATTACTATTTCTTCTAGAACTACAATGACTGTGAAAATATTGTTGGTGCTTGTAAGCAAAGCATTGACTTATTACATTTCAAACAAAAAACATAATTGTCCTGCTGATATTTAATAAGTAATGTTGTTTGTACAGTTTTTGAATTTGTAATTGTAAATTAACACCGAGAAACTTTACCATATTAAAAAGTGACATTTTCAAGTTTAACGGGAAAACCCCTTGTACTAATACTGTCCACAGTTTATCCTCACGCATGGCTGAAATATAAAGGATCATGTAGAGACAGCTTGTGATGGCTGGCTTGCATAAAATGGCATATACATTTTTGGTAATGTTATGGTCTATTCATTTTATTTCTTAAAAAAAAAAACTAAATAATATAAAAAATTTACATTTGAACATTAAAATGAACATTATTTTCTCAGTAATATACAACATTTCTTTTCTTGGTAGTATACAATTTCAGTCCTTACCAAGATATATCACTTTCATGTTTTGAAATGTCTGTATTTTATTCTGGTTTAAACCAGTAAGTACTTGGTGATGTTTAAATTTTAAACGTTTTTGAGCAATAAACTGTTCAATTTTAACTAGTGTGGTTGAGTGGATTTATTCCCACATAAATTTTAAAGGAGTGTCTACTCAGGAATAGGCAACTATTTCAGCACTCTTACATTCATACAAGTACTTTTTCACATTTCGTCTCATTTATTTTGCCTTTGCTTGTTCTATATTTTTTACTATCTTTTTTGTAAATATTTTCTTGCATTTTTTTCTTTTCTGTTTTTAAAATGGTATAAAAACAATTAATCTCATTCTCTAAATGTTCTAAACAAGAAATCAAAGAATTATTGTCTTTTCAAAGGGTGTTACCATATTTTCAACCTTTCTGTCTGCATGGAGGTGTGTGTTACAGACATGTAATAAAGGCCAGAAATGTTACAGTGTGTGCTTCCATTAAATTTTGTGGTGGCAGCTATTATTTTTGTGTGTAATGGGCTGACTATGGAATTAACAAATCCCAGTGATGGTTACTTTCAGTCTTCTGACACTGTTGGTGTCTTGTGAGCTGGAATATTTCTTTGCACGGTGAGAAAGACTTCCTTTGTCACAAATTTGGCACAGAGAAATGTGCAAGGTGCAGTATCTTTAGCAATAAGAGCAACTAAAGTATATTTAAGGGAAACTTTTTTTTTCTGGAAAGTGTAGTGAAGGGTTTACCCTGTCAGTTAATATTTTGCTGTTTGGGAAATTCCAGTGTGAAAATCTCACACAAATCCTAGAGATTCAAGATTCAATAAGTCTCAACATGCTAGTCTGGTATCAGAGATCAACAACTCCATCCAACTGCTGACTTCATCCACCCAGGTGCACTATCAGATGTGCCCTCACCTATTATGGTGGACCTCAGTGTCAACAGGAGGCCATAAACAACATTGTATTACAGCTTCTACCAGTCTCCTTCCCAGTCTAGATCTACTTCCAAGAAATGCTCAGGAACTCATACGCTCATAAGGAAAACACAGAGAAACTCCATAGTGCTCATTGAATATTTATTAAAACAAGGCCTCTAACATTTCACTCATGTTGGTATAGAAAAACGTGTGCATTAGAATAAAATACTCGATTCTGCAATGATTACCAGTCTACAAGCTATTTCTGTCCCACAGTGATTCCACCTAGACGCTGATGTCACAGTTTTCTCTACCCTGACAAGTTGCATTCATCTGGACTTTGTCACAGGCCTCCTGGAGCCTTTGTGCTGATGTCAGGTAGTGCATGTGATCATTAGATGTCAAGAGACCAACTAGCTCTTTCCTTCTCACAGTGAGTCTACTCAGCATGATGACATCACAGTTTCCTCCTCCCTGTCATATGTCATCTCTCTGGACTTTCCCAAAGGCTTTCCTGAAACCTTTGTGCTGATCTCAGGAGGTGCACGTGATCATTAGTTATCAAGAGACCAACTAGCTCCTTGCTTCTCACAGTGATTCTACTCAGCATGATGACATCACAGTTTCCTCCTCCCTGACAAGTGTCATCCCTCTGGACTTTCCCAAAGGCTTTCCTGAAACCTTCATGCTGATCTCAGGTGGTGCACGTGATCATTAGGTGTCAAGAGATCAAATTTGGAACATGCCCTACCAAGGGGGAGATAGTAGTACCCATTTTTCATCTGTACCTTGTCAAGTGCATCGACGGACACACAGGATTTACACAGACATGCACTTAGTTCTTGTCTTTATGCACATTATTACATAATATCCATTGAATGGGAGAAAACCTTAGTTATCTGCTTTTTAACTATTTGCTCTCTAGAACTGGCTCATACAGTAATGTAGATATCAGCTGAAATGTTTAAATAATACATTTCACGATCTTTATATAATTTATTTTCTTTATTTAATAGTGACTGTAAATAAACTATGAAGTCAAAAATAATTCTCTTCAACAAATGTTACAATGACCAGTGTAGCATATCAGTAAACCTTAGGAGATGTTGTATATGGCATGTATGATGATGACCATTCATAACTGTGTTTATAGAT